CATGTGGGTGTGTAGAGGCAGGTACGTGTGTGTAGATGTACATGTGTGAGGGTGTGTATGTGTGTGAGGATGTGCACACACATAACAGTACACACCCTTACACGTGCACACACAAGGCCCCCGTGCGCCCCAGCTGCCAGCCCATATTCACTCTTTGAGGAGAGGCCGTGGAGTGTTCAGACTTAATTTCTAGGAAATTACTTCCCCGTCTGCCTGTGGACTTCGAATTGAGAGATTCCAGTTCACCAGACAAGCCCAGCATGCGACCCTCTGCAAGGCAACAGCCCCCGTGTCCTTCTTCAGGGGGTGCACTTACTCATATGTCCTCCTGCCCCCTCTAGGTTCCCAACAGAGGTAGGGACAGTCAGGGAGGGCCACGTACTCTTGGCGGGCCACTGTGGGCACTGTCCTTCACTCAGAGAATGCTTCTTTTGCTGCTTCCATTGGGGTGAGGTCCTTCACCGCCCAGGACCTCCCCAGTCCCTCGAATGATTTCCTAAATGAGGGACTGCTTGGGATGAGGAGTTCAAGCCAAACGTTCTACTCCTAGGACTTATGAAACATCTGTAGAGGGTCACTCCTCAGTCTACAGAGGATAGGGAAAATGCCCACTTCACGCCAACCCCAGAACCATGGGCTGGAAGGATGCGTCCAACCACCTCTGTTCAGGAAGTTCACCTACCCACAATGCGGTCGTCCAGCCTCTGCTAAAACTCCCGCCCATTGGCTGCCTCTTCCCAGGAAACCCCGCCCACTAGCAGATACCTGCTAGAAAAAGCTTGCCAAAATTTGCATTCAGGCATCTTTCATTTGTTTGTCCTAGTTCTGACCTTGGTTCTCCACACCCTATATGACAAATGTGTTTTTCTGCCAAATCTTCTTCCCTTCCTCTGCCAAAATGTCTCTGATCCTTTCAGCCATTGAGTGTAGAGCCTGATTTCACTGTCCAGGGGACTTCCTTAGGCATCCTACTGTTTGCCAAGGTCACACCAAAACTGTCACCCTCCAAATGTGGTCTTCCCCCCAGTTTGGGGCTTGATTCTTCTGCAGCCTATTGACTCTGTTGAACTTTGTCAACTGGAGACCAAGACTGCAGATCTGCCGGCTGGCTTCATTGGGACCTTCTCAGCTGCAATGAACATAGATGCCAACCCAGGCCGAGGGGATTGTATTCTCATGATATGGACTCTCTGAATAAGGGGGCAGAAATGTGACTGGGCTTCAAGAACGAATGAAGCAGGGTTCTAGTTGCCTCTCTTTTCTCTTGCTTCTCTCTGCACCTTCTCGCTGAGTCTCTCTCCCAACCAGCCTCCTCCGCTTCGGGGCCACAAGACAAAACACAGCCACAGTGTCTCCCTAGCTGATGTGCTATGCTCAAGCCACCTGGAGACGCCTGGAATCTGTAAGCCCCAATTCCAAAATCATCAGGAAGTTTCTCTGGCCCAGTTCAGGTCTCTCGCCCACCTTGCACCGATGAGCCACCTGCTGTGGTTGCGGCTGCTGAGCAAAACTGTGAGAAACACGCTCACCTGTCCAGACCCAAAGAAATGGACTCAGGCACAAAGAATAGCGAAAGTGAGACTTTTAATAGAGGTCTTGCCAGATTGGGTGGCTGGTAGGCACACCGGGGGCAGCTACAGCAGGTAATTTATCTCCCAGCATGCAAGTCCCTCCCCCAGTTCCTCATGGCTGAGTACTGTGGGGTGACAATCTTCCTGGACGTTGCCTAAGTGTCATTATCCCCCTTATAAGGTTATACCCTGTCCTCTTCCCCCTCTTAAGTTTCAATTTCCCAATAATGGAAGTTTCTTCCCTTTTATGGGCTGACCCCTCTTCTACATTCTGTTCGTGTATCGTGACCTTCTAGGAGTGTGAGCTGTGCTGTTTGTTACATTCACAGGCTGGCTGCCAGTGCTTAGATTTATCATGCCTTGAAAATGGACCATTTAAAATGTTTTCTGACAAAACCCTATGCAGACAGGGGTAGGTAAGAAAAAGTTTCCAGGGAAGCATTGCTGGGCAATCTTGAATCTTGACTACCTTGTCCAAACAATGTATCACCCTTTCTAGTTCTGTGTCTTTTGCCAATTTGTTGAGTGGTCTGCATGCTACACCTTCATCCTGGCTATCAGCAAAAATGTTGAACAGAACAGAGTTGAGGAGAGATCTTCTACCCACCACTCAATGTTTCCTGCCAGGGGCACATGTGTTTGCTAAGTAAACCATTTGATAATGATTAGTCAGACTACAGAGCCCTGCTTAACTGGCGATAATACGGCCATACTGACACATGGTAGTGTGGAAATGACGTGGCACTATGGAAAATGCTTAGCGTGTAGCAACTGACAAAAGTGGCATACAAAATTAAATCATGAATATACAGGGGAAAAAAGGCTAGAAATATTTTAAAAAGACAGGTAACATGAACTACATTTGGTTAGCAGAGCAGGCAGAATTCCGAAAGAGGACTGCTTACGGGTTTCAGCCAGCCTGGATGAGATAACCTTGACTCCAGCTGGCAGGATGAGCTGCCCATGCAGAGATCTGTCTCGTACAGCACCTGCAGGGATTTGCTGGGAATAACCGCTCGCAAGTCCAGGAGGAGGCATAGGTAGAGTTAACATGGCCATGGATGTGTACAAGGTGCTAGGAATGGAATAGAGTGAGTTTGGTTGTTAATTCCTCAATTCCCTTCCAAAGCACCAAAGGCAAGGCAGCCAGTGTGGTAAAGGGAGTATTTTCCGTCCTGTCTGCAGCCCTGTGCTGCTCGGCCAAATTTCACTGACCCCTTCCCGAAGCTGTTTCATTCTCCTCACGTCCAGGGCCCTAGTGAGCCCACAGGGTCTGTCTGTGACTTAGAGAAGGATGCCCCTTCTGGACAGATGCAACACCATGGGCACACAGTGTGGTGTGTGGCAGGCATGCTGGAATCTAGCCCTTGCTCACCTTTCAGCTGGATGTCCTTGCACAGTGGACAACACGTACAACCGTATGCCTGATCCTGGCACAAAGCACAGCCCTTTAGTCCCAGTTCTTCCCCAGGTGATTTCCTCCAGGCCTTAGTCTTCCCTGGACAAGGCCTTAGGCTTTAACAGTGGGGAAGGCTTTCTGTTGCTGCAGCCCTTGGGCGGCTGCTCTCTGGGGTGAGGGCCCAGCTAGCAAGTCTGTGACCACAGGACTGAGGGTATCCCTTCCCCTATGCCCACCTTAGTCACCTCCCACCTGGCACTAGTGGGTCCTCACCAATTTTGTTTGAATTGAGCCTAGTTCATTCTGGAGGTTGAGACTAAACTTCCTTACTGAGCAGGTGTCTTGGAGACCCCTGAAGGCCACAGGCTTATTTTTGCCCTGAGAGCACAGTAAGAGCCTAAAATCGAAGTGATTTTTCTCGCCCTCCTAGATTGACTAAAAGGCCTGGTGGAGACAGGCTGAGGAGTCCTGCACTGACCTCCGAATGTTCTATTAGTTGGGTTTTCACATTCAGAGTATACTGTGGAGATCATCACGTTCTAGTTTTCTGGAAACTTCCTAGGTTTACTCCCTGGTGCATTGCTCCTCCAAGTGATAATTCTAGAAACTCATTCCTTTGCCTTTGGCAATAATAACCCAGATCCCAGGACTCCAAATGGAAAAGAACAGCCTGCATTTCCAGACTTCTGGTGTGGAGTGGGAAGCCAGACAGAATCATTCTGGCTATGAGCTGCAGCGGTGCTGTCCGTGCCAGAACAAATGCATCAAGTCCTAATGATGACTCGAAGCGTGATTAGGATTCAGGTGACCTCGTCAGCGCAATCCTCTCTGAGCTATAAAACTGGAAAAAAAATAAGGCAGATTGTGCTTGGGACTAGGGAGCCCCCGAGATGAGTTACAGCCGGCATTTCCAATGCCTGGGAGCCCCCAGGAAGCACCCTTTGGAGAAAGCGTAAGTCAGGTTGCCTAAAAGGAACTAAAGATGTGTTCCATTCCACTGTGCAAACCAAATTAATGCTGAATACTGAAGGCCTTCCTTGCCAAGATAGAGTTGGATTTCTATTAGTCATTGAGGGCCATTTGCCCGGATGCAAATGGCCTTGCTGAGCTGGTGCAATGTCTGACTGGAGGTTTTGGGGAGCAGTCAGCCCCGTGCATGTGTATTTAACAATCATCAGAGCTTTCTCTTTTTGGCTTCGAGGCTAAGCTTATTATCCAAGGAACAAATGGAATATGAAGGCTGCCTCAGTGCCGCCAGAGCCCATTAGGAAATGTGCTATGAAGCAAAGGCAGCGCGTTGACAGGGCTGCAGAGAAAGAACTTGGAAGCAGAGGCAGGAAAGGGAGGGCGGCTTCCGTCCCAGCATCCCTGAAATGGCTCGCTGTGAGTTCAGCAAGCCACACTCACACCATGCACCTTCCCCGTGCCTGAGCTCATCTGCAAACACATTACCTTGCAGACAGAACCTCCAAAGGGCCCTATCATCCCATGGCGCATCGTCATTCTCACTCAGAAGCAGAGGACTCGGGGCCTTTTATCTAACACCCAACCAACGTAAACGTCTGTTTTCTGTTCTTCTCCCCTCTACTCTTTAGACAATAAACAAGAACCATCTGACATTTTCCTTAGTTTGTATATTTCAAACTCAATCCAACTTAAGTACCCTACCTGACCCTCCCCAACCCGCCTTCCCTCCCGTGTTCTCTTTCCCTTTGGAGTCCTTACAAACTCTCCCTCTACTTCGATGGTTCAGAGAAGACTGAGAGCTGGGCCTGGGTCTCGAAAGCTTCCTGGTGGTTTTCTACTGCACTCACGTCCTCAGGCACCTGATGGGGTAGAGCCCACCTTTTCAATGTCCCCTCCTCTCCACCACAGCTACCTACTCAGACCACTTGCCCTTTGCACCTGGAACATGACAGTAGCCTCCTAACTGTCCCTGACCACAAGCCACACCCTCTGCCGTCTTTCCTCTATTTGCTGCCAGAATGATGTTTCGGAAATACACAACAGACCTTGTTGCTATCTTCCTCCCTCCCTCCCTCCCTCTACCCCTGCTTTCCTCCCGCCTCTACCCTCCTCTACTTTCTAAGCATCTGCTAGATCAGGCATTGTTCTAGGTTTACAGATCTACAGCGTGGGACAAGAAGACATCGTAGCCTCTGGCTTTTGGGGATCATAGAAACATTTGCTCCGGGGAAATGCTAAGTAACAACCTACACCATTAATTCTTTAAAAACGACTGTGACTCAGGGCCAGGAAGAAGACTTTGTAAAAGGTAATGTGAAAATGTTTTCCCCGCTCAGAATCTTCCAGTGGGATGATAATGATGTGTTGATGCAGGCTCCTTATTGTAACAAACGTACAACTCTGCTGGGGGCAGGGGCTCTGTGGGAACTCTCTGTACCTTTTGCTCAGTTTTGCTGTGAACCTAAAACTGCTCTTTAAGAAAGGTCTTCTTTGTTTTAAGTCTCCCAGTGATTCAGCATACAAAACCCATGGCAGAGGGCTGGGCTGAGCTTTTCCCACTTCCACTGTGTTCCCTAAGGTCCGTCTCCCCAGACCACTCCTTGTTTGAGTACCCAATGCTCCCGTGCCCCAGTTCCTTCAACAGCCCCTCTCTACTTCCTGCAACTTCTTTTCCTTCCCTTGGCTACCTTCTCCTTTGGGAAACTCAGATGTCACCTCCTCCAAGAAGCCCTCCCTGATATTACCAGTATGGATTAGGTGCCTCCCCTCTGTGCTCCCAGACCTCCCTCTGCCTGCCACTGTCATTGCATCACCTTGTAACTGTACATATCTGCCACTGCCACCAACTCCCACTGAACTAAGAATGCCCTCAAATAGGGACAAACAGAATCTTTTAGCATAGTTACTGAAACACATGTAGGCTTCAGTAAATGAATGGATGCAAAATAAAGCTAACATTATCTGGTTAGTGAGAATGCTGAGAAAATTTTAGGGAAAGGAAAAAATAGATATCCTTGAGTTTTTACTAAAGTTCCAGAGATTGCAAGAATGAGCTTCCTGACTACCTTTGCCTCTAACAGCAATGCTGCAGTTGAACCTGACAACCCGTTACCATGATGTAGAGAAGCCAGTGCAACAGAAGAGAGGACATGTTTAATCTCGTCTTTGCGACTTGGCTCTCATATCACTAAAAATCGTATTTGTGGGAGGCTGAGGCGGGTGGATCACGAGGTCAGGAGATCGAGACCATCCTGGTTAACATAGTGAAACCCCGTCTCTACTAAAAAATACAAAGAAAAAAAATTAGCTGGGTGTGGTGGTGGGCACCTGTAGTCCCAGCTACTCAAGAGGCTGAGGCAGGAGAATGGCATGAACCTGGGAGGTGGAGCTTGCAGTGAGCCGAGATCGTGCCACTGCACTCCAGCCTGGGCGAAAAGAGCAAAACTCTGTCTCCGGAAAAAAAAAAAAAATCGTACTTGTGATAAGTAAATAAGAGTCATTAAACATCAAATGCAATTGAAATGCTCCGTAAGGCACGCTCCTTGGTTTCGAAACCTCTGTGGATGTAAAGAACCCCCTAGAATAGGAGGTGGACAGTCCTGGGCTCCTGGCTGAGTCCCATCCTCAGTCCTTAAGGTGGAGATCACATTGTGCTCCCTCACAGGTGGTCCGGTGAGACCATGTGGGTGGAAGCACTTTGTAAACATAGGGGCTCAACAAATGCTAAATGTCACTCATGAAATTGCATTCTAAAGCAAATAAACAAGCACACTTCTTTTGTCTAAATAGCTGTGTGTAGCCTTGGAGTTCTGGCTAGGGAGTCACCCAACCTCTGGTGTTGCCCCTTGTGGCAACATCTGAGATGCTGGATAGTAAGTTGGCCTTTTGTAAGGACAGCAGGGTAGGGTCTGTTCTGTAAAGAGCTACAGGCAGCTGAGGACTCAGAACGGCGGACACTGTTTCAGAGACCAGAGAGGTAAAGTGAGGAGACTCCCTTCCTTCTTTCTTTCTTTCCAGAACCTACATTGACCAGAGACTTTGCAGCCAGCTCACCCCTCCAACTCCCTGCCCTGGAGTCCCTGACCTGGGAACTTCTGCATCAGGCTGCTCAAACCTGAACTTGACAAAATTTCAAAGCACCAATTCTTTATGTTGATAAGACAATGGTCAAAGTGCTGAACCTGGAACCTAGATCACTCGATGTTGCCTGCAGCTGAGTCCACTTCTGTCACTCACCCTGCATTTCCCTGCTAGGAGCAAGAGAGAGAAAGCCGGCCAGAAGGCATGGGTGTGGGCTCAGATCTGGTTCCTCCTGTTGCCACTGTGAAAGTTGATCATACAAAGGTCACTGTTGTCATAGGCCAGCAGAGTTAGGAGACCAGGGGAAAAAGCATGTAACATTGCTCCAAGAATATAACTGTCTCCAACCCTGGCTGCTGGAACAAGTGTTGCAACCTGAAACCAGTTTGATCTAATAGCTACTGAAACGACCTGCGGAAATCTAAGACCAGTTTCACCCACCCACCAATCAGAGCTTGCTGGATCCCCAAAACGTTTCCAGCGCTAACGAACTTGCTTTCCTAACGATCCGTTAACATTTCTCATTTTTATGAAACCTCCAACCTTCTCTTTGCTCTTTGGACATACTGAAGACCGCCCAGTCTGTGTGTATGTCCCAAACTGAAATTCTTGCTTCCCAAATAAAACATTTTAAACTTAGAGATTCGTCTGTATATTTTATTTGACTTTGACAGCACCAGGGGCTCTGGCACAAATCTCCTCCTTCCTTCAAGCCCTTTTCTCCACAGTCCCGTGGGTCTGCCCTGAGAAGTCTGATGATGACCCAGAGACACAATGTCACTGGGAGGTAAATTCAGGATTACTTGACAGAATGGCTCACCCGAGGTCACAGAGGCTGCTGGAGGAACACGAAATGGTCTTCACCAAGTGAAGCGTTGTTGGTCTTGGCCTGTGTCTGGCTGGAGAATGTTAAAATTCTGGGGACACGACAGAAAAGGCACAGTTGTGGGGACCAGGCCAATGTCAGCATGAGCAGTGGCTCCAGCCTCCTCCCATGAACCAGCTCTGCGGCCACAGGCAGGTCTGTGTGTCCTGGTCTGTGACCTGGAGTCAGTAACACTGCCTACTTCCCAGGGCTATTTCCAGAGAAGGGAGGGAATGGGTGTGGAACGCCTGCCGTCTGCGGAGCCCTGCATGAAACGTCGCTGTCTTTCTGGCCAGCCCTGAGCCAGGGAAGGGACTAGAAGCGCAGGGGGTGGCTGAGGGAGGCTTTCGGCAGCTCCACCCCAGCCCTGCCCCTCCTCGCCTGCTGAAACACAACCTATGGTTATCGCCTTCCTGGAGATGTTAGCCGCCCCCTCCAGAGGTGGTTCCAAATCCATTTCTCATTTGGCTGATTTAGGAGAGGCTGCAAATCGGTCGCTATGGTTTCTTTATTTTCTCCTGACAGCTTAGGAATCATTTTTCCAATTATTCCCAGGAGAGGAAAAAGAAGTGGAGGAAGCCAGTGTTTGGAATGAGGAGAAGCTCACGGATCTGAAATTGCAACCTCTTCTGCAGGAGACCCGGAGCAACTACTAGGACCCATTGCCTCCCTGTGGGACCCCCGCCTAGCCCCCTCCAGCCAGCCCTGCATGGCTGTGGACCCACTGCAGAAATGTCTCCCACTTAGCGCTCCAGCCTCTCTTCTATTCGGGCAGGCCACAGCTGCAGACTTTGTGCCTGCCATAGCAACCCCAAGCCCTCAAATAAACCCTCCCTCCCAGGCGGCCTCTCTCTAAGGGGAGGAGACAGACAGTGACCAAAAGCAATCAGTTAAATACACAAACAGGATTTAGAGGGTGGAAAGTGACAAGAAGAGAAACATGGCAGGAAAAATGGGGGTGAAATTTTACATGGAGCCATGGGGAAGGCTGCTGAGGAAGACCTGTAGGAGTGGGGGGCTCCCAGACAGGAACTGTGGCCCACTGCACGGATATGAGCAAGTTTGGAAGGGAATGAGTCCCCCCAAGCCTCAGCCTCGGCCAGCCATTCTCAGGTCTAGGCAGGAAAGATGCCAGCTGTCCCACGTCAGCTGAGGTGTTCAAACAGCGGTGTCCCCTCAGCAGGGAGACTGCAGAGGGGATTGAAGCCTTGGGCAGGGGGCTAAAGTAGGCCAATCCTCATTCTGCAAGTGTCCTTGGCCCCTCAGTTTGTTGGCCCCGCAGTTTGTGCAGCGTCTCAGGCACTCCCTGAAGGTCGAGTCTTGGCCGAGATTTCGGCTCACCCCAGTCCAGCTTCTGCTCCTAGCCAGGAATGGCGTTTCCTAACCACACGTCCACGGAGCAGGGAGGTACATCTCCACCCACTCCCATTCCTTCTCCACAGCTTGCCATGGGGCAGTGCTGGGTTTAGTTCCTCTCCTTATTTGGAGCTGGGGTGTGGACAGGTGTGCAGGTGGACAGGCAGCAGCCAAGGTAGAACGCAAGTCAGCCACGGGTGGCATGTCGGGAAGCACCAGAAAGTGCAAAAGTTTGGCATCCAGGGCCTCCCTGGACCGACTGAAATTTGGTCTAAATGTGCTCTTGTACCCACGTGGGAGGGCTCAGTGCCGCCTGGGTCTGGATTTCCTGGAGATGGGATTTCAGGGAGCAGAGGACGACTCTGGATGAGTGACCTAGCCGTAAGTGAGAGTATTTACTGAGCCCAGCAATGGGCAGAGCATGGTTCTGGGGGTGGCTGGCTTGGGGGCAACACAGACATGTAAACAGTTGTCTGTGTGAGTGGAGGGGGCAGAAGTTGATAAGATCAGGGAGTGACGGGCAGGAGGGTCTGGGAGCTCATTTCTCATAATTAGGTGTTTTCATGGTAGCTTTGTGCTGCTGCCAGCAGAACCCCTTGTTTGGATGAACTTGTAGTGGGGTGATATTTTAATCTCCCATATTCTGTTAGTTTGCCAGAGCTGCCCTAACAAAGTACCACAAACTAGGTGGCTTGAAGCAATAGAAATTCACTGCCTTGCAGTTCTGCAGGCCAAAAGTCTCTGATCGAGGTGAGAGCAGGGATGGGTCCTGCTGGGGCTGTGACCGAGACTCTATTCCAGGCCTCCCCAGCTCTGGATGGTTTTCTGGCCACCTTTGGCATTCCTGGGCTTCTACATGTGTCACCTCAATCTCTGCCTTCGTGTCCACATGGCAGTCTCCCTGTGTGCGTGTCTGTGTCCACATTTCCCCTTTTTATCAGGATACATTCATATTGGATCAGGGCCCACCCTACTCCAGTATGACATCATCTTAACTTATCACATCTGCAATCACCCTAATTCCAAATAAGGGTCCTTTGGAGGCACCGGGGCTTAGGACTTTGTATTTGTTTGCCAGGACTGCCATAACAAAGTACTGCAGACCCAGGGGCTTAAACAATAGAAATGGATTTCTCCCAGTTCTGGAGGCTGGAAGTCCATGACCAAGGGGTTCGCAGGGCTGGTTTCTTCCAAGGTTTCTCTCCTTGGCTTGCAGAGGAACGTCTCCTCCCCGTGTCTTCACCTGGCCTTTCCTCCAGGTGTGGCTATGTCCATATCTTCCCTTCTCGTAAGCACTCCAGGCAGATGGGATTATAGCCCACCCACATGACCTCATTTTAACTTAATTACACTACTTTTTAAAGGCCCTTTCTCCAAATGCAGTCACATTCTGAGGTACAGGGGTTAGGGCTTCAACATATGGATTTTGGAGAAACACAATTCAGGTCATAAGACTTCAACATACCTTTTTGGGGGAAACAGTTCAACTCATAACACACACTGTGAAGCAGTTTTACCTCTTGCTACAAACATTTCCTCAGCTCCCATTCTGTGCTGGGCACCGTGCTAGAGGTGGGGGGAGCCGTAGCATCACCCTTCCAGGAGCCCCGTCTGCAATGGGTGGCAGACCAGTTGTGACTGTAGCTTGTGTGACAGCTGCCAAACTAGAGGCCCAAGGGTAAGGGGCTGGGAGAGCTGAGAGGGGCCACACTCACTCAGCGGGGAAGTGAGGCAGGAAAATGTAACTGGACAAGGCTGACTGGGAGGCGGCCAGACCAGCAGGAGGGTGGGGGCGGGTGGGGGCGTTTCAGGCAGGGGAGCCACACTTGCAGAGGCTCAGCAGCACCAGGGAGCCTGGCACATTCTGGAAACTGCAGGTAGGTGTGTGGCAAGAGCACAGGGAGATGAGTCCCCAGCAGGGCCCAGCTGTGGGGAATGATGTCCACCTGGCTACAGGTGCTGGGATTTAACGGCTAACCCAGGAGAGTGTGAGCTGGTCAGATTTGATCAATGAGTGTCTGAATGAACGAACGAAGTGAACCATTAGTCAGGCTCATATACATGCTAGATGTTGCCGAGAGTTCAGAACAAAATAAAAGTAACAACCAATCACGCAGAGGGCCAGAAAGGCAAAGTACTGCGCCCAAAGTCACCTTGCTAGGATGTGGCAAAGGCAAATACGAAGCTACTTCATCAGACCCTGGAGCTGGTGCTCCACGCTGTGCCGCCTCCATCTCCCTGTGTTCCACCCTCATTCTCAAACGGGAGCCACTTCCCGAAAGAAGACTGCGAAGGCCTCGTCCCGGAATCCCAGTGGCTTCCCTGCCCCCGGGTAAGGGTTAGGGATTAGGGGCACGGGAGGCTCTTTCTCCCAAAGCAGTGCCACCCGGTGCCTTTCCTGACCTGGTCGTTACGGAGCCCTGGGAAACTGATACCCCACCAAAGACTTGGCCCTTCAGCCCCTCTTGCTTCCGGGCCCCTCATCTGCTTGTGGCTGCTCTGCTCCCAGGGGCTCTGGGACCACTCCTGGACTGAGCTCTCCTGTCCCATGTCCCGTGTTCCATACCCCACCACGTGGAGGAGAGGATCCCTTAGGCCCCACTCACCAGCCCAGACAGCCCTAAGCAGTGGCCTCGAGGAGAGTCCCTCACAACCCCATATGCCATTTCCTCTCTGCAATCTTCCTTCACCCTCTTCTCTGCCTGCTCTCCAGCCGCTTCCTCTGAACCTTCCGGGCGTCTGTGAGGCCCTCCTGTCCTGGATCCCCAGCACCGTGACCCAGTTCTGTGGTGCGTGTCTCTGAGCGCTCCTGCAGGCAGGGCTCGGAGCTCCCATCCCTCCCCTTGCTCCGTTTCTGTGTTCGGGGAGGAAAGAATGAATGGAAGTTGTGAGAAACTAGTCTGGGCTCACATGTCCAGCGGCCGGCATTGACTAAACAGTCCTGTGCCAGGCGCCTCACTTGCCTTGCCATTTTTTTGCAGCGTAAATCCGCCCTTTATTGCCTCCAAAAAGCTATTTTCTACAGCTTTACCCAGGTGTAACTGATATTTAATGAAGCAGTACAATTTGATGAGTTTGACATGTCTACACCTGTGAAACCGCCTCCAGAAGCCATGTGCCCCTCTGTCGCCTGTCCCTCCTGCCCCTGCGTACCCTCCCTCTCCAGGCAGACTGTGATCTGCCTCTGTCACTGTGACGAGTGTGCATTTTCTAGAAACTTATCTGAATGGAATCATGCAGCACACACTCTTCTTCCATCTAGTATAAGGAGGTGATGTGGAACTTTCTAAGAAATGGTCAAACTGTTTTCCAAGGGGGCTAGGCTGTTTTCTGTTCCCGCCAGAGAGGAGTGGGGAGGTGGGGGGGCGTCTGCCCCCCGCCCCCCCACCGCCATTACTGATGGTCACTGTAGCCGTGG